GTAAAGGAGTAGCCCAAGAGTTGGCGGTGGGTGGTGATGACTAGCTGCCTTCCCTGTAGTCTTATACTGATAAATTAGGGACGGCTAGCGCAGATAGCCCTCGTGTAGCTTTGCGCGAAATCCATAACAAACAAACAATGGCTGAGGTGGAAGCAGGCTAACCTGGTGTGCCCCCTCCCCTAGATCATCGTGGGGGGGGGGGGGGCTTCTCTTTGATAGTATTTGCGTTTAATCTAGCCCGACTAGAAAATTTTCACACAGATTGCCATTTGGGGTGCTTCTACCACGACCTCTATCTCCGGGCAGAGAGCTTGATTGCTCATAACACTTAAATTCGTGGTTCGATATTTGCAGTAGGCATAGCACAGATAGTTCATTGTGCTAATTTGTGCTTAACAACAAATGGGTTTCTGTTATTGCAGGAATGTTTCAACATCTACAGGTATTGCCAATTTTAAGAGTGCCAAATCATACGCGATTTTCGGCATGAGATATACATAGAACATTCTGATAATCATTGTCTTTTCAAACTTGAAAAATATGATTTGGTACATAATTAATATTCATTCATGATCTCGAGATGAGAGTTTAATTTTAAATTTATAAATTAGAACGTGCTATTAGAACATAATTTATTCTTTATTAACTGCTGGTGGTAACTTGATTTATATCTGATCAGCAATCTTATACAAAATTCAATAAAATAAGCATTATTTATTTATTGGGAATCGGGCTAACAATTAGCAGTTGACTTTACATTGTTATGTATGTATCTCTTTGATATATAATAACATTTACGTCAAGACTTTACAAATAACTCAGAATCTTAATCCACTGCCACCAGCATGTCACTTTAATATGGCCTCTAAGGGGTATTGTTGAATTTAGTGTTCTAAGAATGGTGTATCTTTATTCTGTGTGTTTGTTGTAGAGCAAAACCATAATGGGTTATCTGCTGTGTTCACCGCGGGGAATCAAACCTCGGATTTTAGCATTATAGGTTTGGAGACTTACCACGGTCCCACCGGGGGACTATCATTAATGCTTCAATATTATGTTTTTAAGTTTCAGTATAATTTAGACTATCAGTCATTATTTTTAGATGTGTTTCTTTTTCCTGTTTCTTATTTATTTAAAAACGACGTGGAATATTCTGTAATAATTTAATTGTTTTTATATTTGTATTGTAATGTGTTTTCTATAATTATATTGATTGGTGCATTTGGAAACAATGGACGCTATATAGTGTCATTACACTAAAAAGTATTGTCTATCTGAAAGTAAGCCGTGTGGCAAATGTCATTGCTGTGGTCAGTGAAAGCACTATAATTATGATCAGAAACAAAGAAAATGTGACTTGAGCCTCACCCCAGGTCAAAATATTGCTACGATATTTTTACTGGAACTAAATAACAGAAGAAAGGTATCAATAATGATCATTTGGGAAATATGGATTGGCTAAACCTAAAGAACAAAAATCAGAACTATGTTTAGATGATGGTGTTTAGTTGAAATAGTCCTTTTAATCTATTTTACGAATGCTGTTAATTCTGTTTATTTTG